GAGTCTGCTGCTTTCTGAGTGTCACCAAAATGAACCTGGTATTAGTGTGTGAGATGTTACTATATGGACCCCATGCTGTCGCTGCCCCACAATCCCCAGCCACCCAACCCACTCCCAGACAACATTCCCTGCCCACCTGTGGCCCCATCCCATCCACTTGGCTGCGTGCGCCCTGCATGCAGGGGTCCTGGGCAGCATTCCCTCTAAGCTGTGTGGTGTGCACAGGTGCATAGGCACGCCTAGCAGCGTAGCATGAGTGCACCTGCATGGCCACACACACTGCACAGCTTAGAGGGAATGCTGATCCTGAGCTGGTATTCATGGAGATCCCACCCACCTTCCTACTTCATCTGTCACCCCCAGTGGTGGGTGTTTGGTTTCTCCAAGGCTATCGTTACTACACTGATCATATGCAATTTTTAAGATGAAGCTGCAAAAGATTGCTCAGAATCTTTAGAAGCTTAAAGGTTGCATAAAATGATAAAGGGAGTGGATGATTTGGGCAGGGTGGATAACAAGGCATGGGGCCTTTCACCTCTCCATGATAGTTTACTCCTTCATAAATCTCCAGCAACTGTGGACCTTTCTAGTTTCCAAATCAACTTCCTAGAGGTTCATAATCCATACCAGATGACAGAAATATCACAAGACATCATTTGTTTATTGACCATTTGGGCAAAGAAGATGAGGAATCATTTGCATGAATATTACTTCATTCAAAACAATGGTTTCTAAGGTAGAACATGAGACACACTGGAAGGTAAGATGATATTTTTTAGGATATCCTATTAATGGAGCATGCAATTACCAATCGGTCTGCTTTCCTTTACAATCTGAAAATAAGCGTTTGCAATTTCCTGAGGTCCTGCTTTCTTCCTTTTCAAGGATGATCACACCCATATGTTTCACTAATTTGTGGGATTTATGTGAGTAGTTTGCCTGCATGCTAATAAGAACACATCAATATTTTGCATATTACAAAGTATCATACTAGGCTAACTTGCTATGTTAAAACTAAGACAAAATTTCTGGGGAGGATATCCTGCGTACTTACAGACCATTTAACTACATAAAATCGAGGTCTTGTTGGCATTTTATCCCTTGAGAGAACATTTAGCAGATACTTGTAGAATCCATTTTAGCAATTTGTTTATTCTGTTTAGCTTATTTGATTTTAAGGCATTACTTCTAGTACTTGGGCTCAAAAATCTCAGCAATTTTTCCTTGCTTATATCTGATATGAAAAATCCATCTTTCCAGGTGTCTTAACAAAGAAAGAAAGACTTTTCAAGGTTACTTTTATTATTTAAAACATATATTCTGAAAGAAGCCCAGTACTCATGGGCTGCCCTTCAGAAAGAAATACTGTGCCTGCATAATAAAAAAATAGGTTATCTTCCAAGTGATTATATATTGAATTTGGGAAAAATTATGAAAAATCTTGACAGGATCCTTCTAATTAAAAAGAAATACTGAGGCAGTAAAAGGTGAATAGAAAACCCAATTCAAATTCTTTAAAAGAGTACTACTACAGGCTTTTAAAAAATGTGCTTGCAACCTACAAAGCTATGATGCAGCTCTGTTTCTATAAAATATGTGACTATACAATGCACAATATTGCATGGAATTATAGAGTGTACATTTTACGCACTGGGACAGTCTCTTGTTTTTAATAACACCTGTACAGAACTGCATTGGCTAGATACTGCTGGGACACTAGGTTTTGAATCAGGTTTTGAATGAGTGTGGACTATGAAATCTCTTTCAATATAATGGTTTTCTTTTGTCCACCCCAAACGTTATGGTGCCCAGGCTGGAGCATTGTGAGGACAGTTTATCTGGCTACTACTTCCATTTCCACTGGATTGTTAACCAAAATAGATATTCACTTTTATCAGAATCTTTTACAGGATGAGGGATCAGATATTTAAAAGTATCTAAGCAATTTAAAAAGACAAGTACCACTTAAAGTCTCAAACTCCTTTGAACACCCAACCCTAAATTTGTTTTACAACTTCATTCACTATATGGTTGTTTGTTTGTTGCATCTTATTTTGAGATATTTTGGTACCTAGGACATACACTTTGCTAATAAGGCTAAATACAAAAAGCCTGAGGCTGAATCAGTTTAATCTTCACAGGTTAGTTTAAGCTGTGTAGATGGAAGTGATAAGTAAGTGGACAGACATTCATGTTTGCTTCCACAAATGTAGCCGCATACCTGCAGTAGCCCAGGCAAGAAGCCAGATGGTGCTAGAGCCTGCCTCCTTGCTGTGCTGGAGCAGACAGCTTGAATCTAGAGGGTATCTGGGACAGAAGTTCAATAAACTGATTTAACCTAAATCAGTTAAGTCTGACCCAATTTCCATCCAGGTTTATTTTAAGCCACTTTTGGAGATTTTGAAAATGGTTTATGTCCACTGAACTTCTGTTGTGTTACAAATTTGAACTGGTTTCCAATCACTTCTATCAGTTTATGTACAATTTCTGTTCCTAAGCCTAAGAGATTTCTTCCAAAATGGATCAAAGTATTCATTTTAATAAGAGAGATACTTGACTAGAATCTGAAACTAATGCCCAGTAGTGTACATCTTGTAGGTTAGACAGACATCTTCTAGACTCCTGAAATGGGATAGATTGAACCTGTCATATGGATTCAATTCAGTCACCTTAATGTGAAAGCTCTGCATCACAATGCCAGTGACTGAACACTGCAGCCTTCACAAATTAATCCTTTCACACAAAACAGCTAATAGGCATAAAGTGAGGATATAGGCAACATTGAAGTTGCATAACAACAATTTTTATTTTAATCTTATATTCCTGGTGGAATGAAATACCCCAAGTCAACTAAGAGATCATATAATTGCCCAATATTACTTTATGCATAAAATAACAGATCTAAAGCTTTCAGTCCCAGGAAATGAAAGAAACCAGGTAATTAAGGTTACTCTGGAACTATGCCATTCAAAGCAACATACAGAGACTTAACTGAATTCATTACAATTCTTCCTGTCCTTGGCTCTGTAAAGGATCACATTTATAGACAATCTATCTTATATTGTGCTTCCAAGGAACATTGAGTCATGGGGTATCCTGCTCAGCAACATGCCACTGACCTGCAGCATCTGCAGATAGCCTTCTTGTGGATCACATAGCAATGAAGATATTCGATGATTATTTCTCATGCATCTCTGATTGTTGTCCCTTGACAGAGGAAAGATTTGCCGGATAACTGTCATCCTCCCAAGAGCACTGTGTACCAATTCTAATATTTCATTATCGTTGATTTCCTGTGAAGAAAAACACAGTTTTTACAGGAAGGAAGGAAGGAAGGAAACAAAACTTCATATTTCCTGGATTCCAGGAAAATTCTTGATTCAAATTTCTAAATGAGAAACAATTTTTGGAATATTTTATATATATTAGGTCCAGTACAGATGGTCTTACCATGTTAATGGTAAAGGTTTTTCTGCATCATTTGTTAGTACAGGCGACCCTCGCCATTCGTGGGGGATACATTTTCATAACCCCCATGAATGGCAAAATCCGCTTATAAGGCACTGCGTTCATGAACACAGGGGGGGGGGGGGGGGGGGGGGGGGCAGGAACATGGCACCAGCAGCTCTGGCAGAAGCACAGTGGCATTGGTGGGAGCCAGGACGCAGCAAGTGTGGAACTCCCGAGGAGCTCTGGTAAGTGTTTAAAGTTTAGTTAAAATGCAGGTTCAGCATTTGTGAATATTTTAAACTGGCAATGCCGAACCTGCAACTAACGAGGGTTTCCTGTACTCCATTTTACACAGCACTTTTTATGTTCAAACTACCCTGGTATGTTTTATATGTTAATTAGGTAATTTCCATGAATGTCTGGGTAGCTTTGTTAACTAAGAGGTAACAAAAGACTACAGCAAAAGTTTATTGAAAGCCCACAGAGCAAGTCAGTTAATTATCACTGGGGCTCTGAATTAAAGAAGCACATATCCTTTTTGTGCACCTCATGTCATCCCAATTCAGCCTGCAACTAAACAGCTGTTATGGTAATCTTGACCTGTGTGAAACTCATAAGAAAGCCTCATCCTTGCAAGATTTGTAGCCACAATTCTGCAGTCTACATGATATGGACAGTTCTGATAAGTCTCTGAAATATTTTAGGGTATATCTAGGTTATTACAAAGGAGTCATGACTAGTTGGGACCTTGCTAATATGATCATAAACTTTCCTCCAGGGTAGATATACCTCAAACTAGGTATTCCAGGTTGGTTTCCCCAAAATATAACAACTTATACTGGGATAAAAAGTAGTAACCTTCAACCTCTTTACCTAATATTTTGGGCATGCATCTGAACTGACACCAAACCTGTGAAAGTTTATCATGAGCACTACAATTCTATAGACATGTAAAAGTGCCTTTTTGCTTCTAACAGTTACTCTGATTCAGCTAAGGATACTAAAATTTATTTTTGTGAAGAAAGGGAAAATAAGATTTTCAACTGACATCAGATGTTAAAAATTGAATGCCTAAAATTGAGTTTTCAGAGCCACTTTTGTTGAATTTCCTCAGTGCCAATTTTCAGAAGTGCTGAGTGGCCACCAACTCCTCTTCAATTCCCAAGATGAATTCTTGTCTGCTTTAAAACCTAGCATGAAGATCCTCTGGGTGCCCAGCCCTCTCAGAAGTTAAGCCATTTTTTTTTTAGATTTCTAGATATGGATTTGGGAGCCAATTTTGCTTGAACATTCTTGAGTTTTCATTCAACAATTTATCACACACAAAAACATTTAAAATTTAGCAGAAAAAATAAAAAATACAAACTAAAAAGAAGGAAGGAAATCTGAAGGAAAAAGAGTAGGAAGAAGTAGACATCATGAAGAAGAAAAATCTAAAATAATTATTTTTAGGTGGCTACAATTTGACAATGTATTAAATGTGGAGACTGTATAATGGCAATTCTGTTTCATAAGGTCATAGACACATTGTGAGCTAAAGGCATTTGATTGCTCAATGTGTTTGCCATTTTGAATTGCTAGGAATACCCTGAGTGTTATTTTATCTGTAACATAAAGGATAACTAATAATACATGGTGCTGTATTTTTACTGTTCTCATGGCACTTGGCAAAACAGTAGAAAAAATAGAGATGAAAGAATGAATTAACACCCGCAGTACTGCCTATTTAGGGAGTGACTCCCAAAGGAACCCTTGCAGCCTGCATAGTTTTGTGTTATAATGCTGAACCTGCATATTTGTACCACAGATTTCAGAATTTACATTAACAGTAAGTTAACCATTGTGTTGTATCCAAATCAACATAAATATAGCATTCACTTATTTGTTTTGGAGTTAGTACACAGTGTGAAGTAAGTGTGTGTGTGTGTGTGTGTGTGTGTGTGTGTGTGTGTGTGTGTGTGTGCGTGCACGCGCATGTGCGTGTGTACGCACGCGCACATATATGTTGGAATTACATAAGTTAGGACAAGAGGAATAATATGATAAAGACACATGGGGTTGAGAAATAACTTGAGAAAATGAGAGGAATAAATGTATTTGCAGACACAAGTGTAACCACATAGAATAATTTGTGACAAAAAATGGCAATAACACAAGAGAACAGCAAACATTGACTGGTTCTTTTCCTAGTCTGGTTTTTCCTAAAAGTTCCAGACCAAATCTCCCATGCCTGAGCTTCTCCATTCTCTCTAATACTTAGAGATACTAGCACTGCCTCTATATTGTACCCGAGACTTACTGGAACTATACAATGTATATATTTCTCATCAAAAATATTTTTTCTTAGGAAGTAAATTAGTTTAAGAATCAAAATTAGCTCATCTCTGCAATTGCAAGAGAAACAGTTTGTTCCTGTTGTCTGTGACTCACAAATGACAAGACGTAATACTCCTGATTGCCTTCCTTCAGGTGTCTCATTCTGGAGGAAGCCCCTGTAGAACCCCACAGACAGAGTCTGTCTGAAGCAGCACATCCCCTAGATACTTTGCCCCTACCATCCCTGTAGCTAGTCCAATCCAACAAACTGTCTCCCCTAAGCAGTAGTTAAGCCATTCATGAGCCCCTTGCAGAGTGGAGCTTGCAAGAAATTTTATTCTGCTATGTTTATACCTTCCTATTAATTGGGGCTTGTGGCTTGCATTCCATCAGCAGAAGTGCATCTGGTCCAATATATTACCACTAACAAAAATAAATATTTTGTTTTCATGCCCTTTTCTCTCTCAAGCCATGAGTGAAATGGCCATGGGGGTAGTATAATTACTTGTTAATGTTGACTAGGTTCAATAACTTAGGTTCAATTTAGGGCCTTTCTTCCAAATTCCATTTTAGGAATATGTATTTTTAACTTGTCAGAAGGTGAACCCTCTTTCTGTTAATGACAAGCCAACTAGTGCGGATAAAATAAATAGTTTAAACATAAATTATTTTCTTAGACATCAAACAAATGGCTTGTGAGGCCTGAAGAAAACTCAGGCAAAGCCCTGAAGCCTTGCACGGAAACTCCTCAGGGCTCCTGCAAGAACCAAAAGGCTTGCAAAGATCAAAGTACCAAAGACTTCTCAGAAAGCATGGCTCTGCACTCAAGCCCATCTTTTCTGAGGTGACCTGAAGACATCCAGAAAAAGACCTTTTGGCATCCTGCTCTGAGTGAAAATATGTAAGGGATACCTCTTAACTAACATTTCTTCCTCATCCTTATATGATAAGCCCCTCTGCAGATAAGTGGAAATGAGTTGCAACAAAAATAAAATTATTTAAATTATTTAAATATAACAATTTAAATCTTAAGACTTTTTAAATTAATCCCCCCCCCAGGGATAAAGTTTCCTTGGCTGTGCCACTTGATCAACAGACATCTAGGCCACATCCAGATGTGCATGGATGTTTGGGTCCCCAGGGACATCTAGTGGCGGCGCACCTTGCACCGCCACTAGCTGTCCCTGGGGAATGCCTGTGCCATGTGCACTCTGACACATGGCAAGTTCCACAGGTAGGGTAGGGAAGGCTGGGGCCAGCACTGGGCTGGCCCCAGCTGCCTTATCTGGGGCTGCAGCAGTGGCATACATGCTGCACAGAGCCTAGCTGGCAGCGGAGCATGGCTTCGTCTGGCCAGGCTCTGGTTTCTGGCCATACATGCAGCTGCTGCTGCTGCATGTCTCTCTCTGCTTTTTTCCTGGGTTTTTCAAAAAAAATTTCTGCTCTGCTCCCTTGCTGGCACCACATACCACATGGCTGCATTTGTCTGGATGCAGCCCAAAAGAGCAAGCTCTCATTCCAGACTGCTTGATTAGAGAAGCAAGTATATAGGAGAGTATATATACATATATAAAACTAAACTTCATATAAGTGGTTTGTGACTGACAGCAAAAAATATTGCTTGTGTGGTGGGGATGTGCAGACAATTTTTTTGGAGAATTCCTTTTGTATGTATTACAACTTGGCAGGGTAGTTTTACACCTTATAGACTAATCAAAGTAGATAAACAGCTCACAAAAGTTTTGCTATATATGTACGTGTGTGTGAGTGTAAGTGTGTGGGTATGTGTGTATGTGCATATAACCTACTTTGCTTGCCTCCTATCTGACTTCAGACAAATGCAGCTAACTGTCTCTCTCTTATTAGGCCTTTAAACCAACAGCCATCTGTATCAGCTTATGGATAATCCATTTGAAAGATGGAGACACTAAGGCACAGGAAAAATAATGGATTCCCCTAAGGTCATGAAACAAGTTAGTGGAAGAAGTCAGATGGAACCTCCAGATGCAAACTCTCTATATGATTCATCAAAAACTAAAAGACACTGCATGTCATCTGTCAAAAGACTTGCAGCTCCAGTTTCACAGCAGGTTAAATGGGAAATGCCATGCATAGCAACTTCATCTGCAAGCCAACCATGATAAATAAATAAAAAGAATCCCAGAAAATGACAAATAAAAATACGTACAAGTGCTTTTGTATCAATCAGGACCACAGTGTGTATTCAGAATTAGGCCTGAGGCTTGGAGCCAAGGGAGAAAAAAGCCATTTCATACTGATCCTATAATTAAGCCCAACTTTGGCACATTTTTTAAAAGTAATGTGCTTCCTTTTCTTCATGTAAAAGATACAAAAATCATTCTTCACATTGTAAAGCATACTGCTAAGCAAGGCACTTAATTTGGTCCTAGAGCTTTTTATATTGACGTAATCCAAATAACCAAACCAATATGAGAAAGCCCATTTCTAGGCTGTTCAAACACAAGGCAGTATGCAATGAATGGTAATATGAAAGTACTGGATTTGT